GTAAGCCAGCAGCCCAGCGGGGAGCGGACAGGGGTGGTAGGATTCGAGCCCATCCCTCACCCACCATGATGGACATGTGAGTTGCCACAAGTACTTTGGAGAAGACACAGTAAAACACCTAATAAGGTCAAAGATGTTCATCTAACAATTCAGCCGTCACATCTATACAATTCACAGCAGGTCACTGTGAAAAATTAGACACTGATTAATTGTCCATCAGCGGCAATCAAAATAAGAATTGGGGGAAAAAGTGAACAAAGATAGATACAGTCAACATAGATACAGTTTTTAAAAATCAACCTCGATTAATATGGTAAGTACAGTGTGATATAAAAAGCTTTAAGAACATTCAAAGCTACCCTGTATCTTTAGGGATAGTTAGAGAGTGAAAGCATTAAATCGTCCTGGAAAATCAAAACCACTCAATTCAGAAGAGTGGTTACCTCTGGGAAGGGAAGATGGGGTGAGATCTGAAAGGCGCACACGGGGACTTTGTTATATCCATCATGGCTTATTACTTAGAAAAAAGAAAAATACCTGAAGCACATTTGACAGAGCTTCCACCTGGCTATCTTCTTCCCAGTGTGGCTATCTTCTTCCCAGTGTAGCACTTCTCCATTTTCTGTTTGAAGTCTTGGGTGGGTTTAAGTGTGGGAGGAGTAGGGAGACTGAGGGACTTGCCACTGAAGGGTGTGAATAGCACTGTCCCGTCACCTGGCTCCCCATCCCAACATGTCTGCTGCTGAGACCTGCCACTGCTTGATGACCAGCCTGCCAGGCACCAGGTCCACCTGTGGGGTGTGGGGGAGAGGAGAGATCAGAGGTTTGGAAAGGTGGAGCTATTCCCTCAAGGTCACAGCCACACCTGGTGGAGAACTGGATGGGCACCCTTACTCAGTGGTGTCCAAGCACCTGCCCATAGGGAAGACCAGTGAGAGTAAAGTCTCCTGCCCTCCCGCATCTGCTACACTTCTCCCTTTTCTCCTGTTTACAAGCCATAAACTTGAAAAAATAGAGAAGCACCAGGAAGAAAAGTCACTGGTAATTTTCACCATCTGACTTTCTGAGTCAGTTTTATTGAGGTGTGTATAATGCATAAATTCACCTATTTTAAATGTGGTTTATTTTGAAAGAAGGCTTTCTGTTTTGGAAATATTTGAAAGTACTCCACAAAGAAGGAAATGCTATTCACAAATAGGAATGATTACTATTGTAATAAAAGTTTTGCAAGTAATTGTTGATAAAGATGTTTTCACCCTAGAAAGAAGGTGCGCAGCTAGGCAGGCTGACGTGTCCTGCTGTTGCTTGGATGTATGCTCAGAAAGTCCTCAGCATGAAGGTGCTGAGTGTTTTCAAATTATAGTGGAAAGTGAAATTGTTAACACCACTTAAAATTAAAAAAAAAAAAAAAGGAATGAAATCTAAAACAGTCAGGGTCAGGCTGTGACCTGTTGAAGAACTTTTAGACTTGGTTAGCTGTCAAGCCGTAAACACCTTTACCTGTGGCTTTTATGGGGAAATGGTTGGAATTAAGTGTCTAAGGTGAGCCTAGCTCAGGAGAAGTAGAAGAGAACTTTCCGGAGATCCAGGACACCCTATCTCTTGCCCCCTGCCCCAGCAGGCTCTGGAACCATGGGTGGGTCCCTTCCCTTCCCTGAAATGTAATCTCCCCCATCTGTTAACAATGAAGTGTGCTTCATCCACACTTTCAACACTGGACATTCGGTCCCTTTAGGGGAGGTGCTGGAGGCAGGCGCTGCTGGGGGGGGGGTACGAGGTAGAGGGGGGATGAGCCTTAGATGGAATGGAAAG